CAATTACTGCTACACCGCGAAAAATAAATCGCGCTCTTCAAAGGGGAAATAACTTGATGCGCACGTACAAAAATAATGGCTGGCATAAAAGTTACTGTAAAATTTAACCGATATCACAGAAAATGTTTCTCTACCTGTTATATAAATATAGCAAATAGGTGTGTACCGTATGTGATTTTTATCGTGTTACTATGTCAAGCGAAAAGTTTCATATAAAAACAAACGAAAATCTCACAACAGACTGCATTCGCGCAAAATTCGTCAGCATGTCGCTAATTAATCAATAAATATAGACAGTTCCTAATAAAATACGTACACAAAATATATACGTATAAATACTACAAAAAAGTTAATTCCTGTAAATATACCCACATAACATCGGATGTCCTATGTATATGCATTTTTCCTCCATGACATGAAAAAATATCCTGCATGTGAAACGTATATACATATACGAGTATGTAATACAATGTGTGTACATACATGTATATCTTGTGTATATACTATATGTACCTGTAATAAATAACAAATCAACATACGTTATGTATGTACATACATAAAATGTGTAAATCATGTACATATGTATGTATATACCTAGAACTTCCTATGTACATTATTCCAGTAACATATGCACATTTGTTATCAAATATACATTTGATATCCAATGTATCTACTGTGTACTAAAACTTCGTGTACAATGTATATGTATACATGACACGTATATACATTGTATATGATATACACTGTATATCAAACTGTTTCGTGGGTATTGTATATTGTACTGTGTAAAAAAATTGTTCATCGCACGTCACTGAAAATCTATCTAAAATTACAGCTCTCGCTACCGACAGCATTGAACCAAAGTGAGCGAGTGGAATTTGAATGAATCCTTCTTTTTAGCACGCGCATTATAAATGAATCACTATCACTGCGCAGCAGACGAGTTTGCACAGCTACAACAGCAATATATGCAGGATAGCTTTCGTGTAGATATAATTAAACGGGCGAGCAGACCCCCCATAGCTGGGTGGGCAACAAAACGTACAGATATTGCGTATCCCTTTTGGTCACTGGACAGATTACGGAAGGACGGGATGGAGAGGGCAATGGAGGCCGTTCAGGGGCGACGAGCGACCGTAGAGAGAATTCAGCGTCGAGTTTTGGCGTTGTAAACCATGATTGCGTGTAGATTACAGACCACTCGGTAATTGCTAGCGGCCATGCAAAACGTATGGAAAACGCTGCAACAAGATGCGAGGCGGGAGAGCGTGAAAATGAAGGTGGCTGTGTCCACTATCGTCTCACTTTACCTCATCCCCCGTCCCTTCTGCCCCTCCCCTAGTTTTTCTCGCCGCTCGGTATCATTTACGCGCAAAAATAGACAACCCGACGCTCACCAGTGATATCTAACGCCTCGCCGCGTCAAATTTATGGCGACTAGATCCCTTGTTACCGTGTATCGAGGAAAAAAAATTGGGAAAAATTCATTGCAGCTTGGTCTTGGCATTTTTAGAGATTCCAGTTAATCTAAACGCACGAGTGGAATAATCAGTCTAGAAATACTGTTATACAATTCAAGCTATTTGTCAAATACAAGCGTTACTTCCGTCGCATAATTACCTCTTTCGGCGTCACGGAATTTGAATCCTCGAATGTTCCGTAAACTGCCGAAAGTTTGTTCGTCTAGAATTGCACAAAACGGGAAGTATTTTTTACCGAATAACATTTGCTATCCGAAAAGGATTTCTGCCTGAAATAATGCTTATACACCCTCAGAAAAGATTTAGAAAAATATTCTTGACGCATTTATATTTCTCACAACCTCATTTAGCATAAAAATAAGACAATATCAAAATATAATCAATAATTCTTATTCTCTTCTATCGAATTAAAAAAAATTGACTTACTATATTGAAATAAGAGTAAAACTTATATAAATGTAAGTTTGTATATTCTTGCGTTTAGAATAAATTTTCCCTCCATCTTACAACGTACGAAGTTGGCACCACGATATTAGACAAAAAAACGATACATACAATACTATCATTTTATTCTAGATTTTAGAATTTGTCATTTAAGATTAAAATACTCCTGTCTCTATAATAAATATGATTGGCGCTCTATCGATCCTATTTTATGTTACATTGAAGTGTAACAGTATTGGATCCGGAAATTTTTTCTGTGGGTGTATTTGTGGCACGTACGCATAGAAAATGTGATTCGTTAAACTAGTAAATGATTAAACGAATTACAATAAATTAACGCGCTGTTCCATCGAACTAATGACGCGGCGACCAATTACTTTTAATACAATACGCGCGCTGTGAATAATATGGTTGATTAATTGTCACGCAAGCAGGTATGAATTATGTCCTTGTATAGTGATACAAGAACTGGCAGCACAGCGACGCAGCGTCGATATATCTCGTTCGGCGATATCCCACGGTAAATTAATGTTCAGCAGTACCTTATTACCAACGTCATTCTGCGTGCAACGTTGCGTAATTCACGAACGCGTCCGTGTGCCGATACACTAGTGCCAGAAGAGCCGCACGATTTAACGAGCCGGATCGAAATTAATTCCATTCGATTTACTGATTCAGCGTCCAATTAATTTTTAACGAAGCTGCCAATAGAAAAAATCAGCCGTAGTTCAGGATAGCAAATATTATTCGCACAATGAGAATAAGATGCAGCGACGACGGTGCAGCCCGAGCAATTTAATTAATCTTCATTTTCATTCGTTTTAATAGACTGGAAGGCCCATATCAGTGCTGTTCCTCGTTTCATTTGTCTTTTCGATCAATGGAAAACTGGCGCAACGAAAACTTTTAATAAGCTAAAATACCCGAACTTTGTATGAATATACGTTCGTATATTCGAGTACATATGTTGTTGAAATTAGGCCGGATTTGATCTTATTATAGCGATTATGTGATTACAGCAAAGTAATTATTTGCATATACCCCTATGTAGACATTACGAATGTTTGATAATTAAGTTACTCATATTGATCTCTCATTTGACGTGAATTGAAGTTAGAATATGTATGAAGTTATGTTTAATATTGTTCTACTGTCAATAAGATTCCTGATACATATACAACCCATACAGCACACAAATTGTGGTCGGTAATTCACCTCTTATGGTAAAGGGTTGGGACTGCCTTTACGACTCACCCTGTATACAAACAAAAAAGTAATAAAGCAAGTCCCAACTTTGATAGCAAATCTCGCAATGTAATTGAAGTTAAATTTTTCATAAACCGAGCTGCTAATTTATCTGAAGCGAACGTTCGACATAACAGACGCTTATTATATTAAACGTTTGCTTAAACAAATCAGCATTACTATAATGGTCGTCGCAATGCATCTCGTCGCAACGAGCAACGTGCTCGCTGCGATCCGTCTGAGCGCTCGTGCATTTTAATTGGGAGGGCGCGACGCCGAGAGGAGAGAGAAGCGAGTGCCGGAGATGCATTGAAAGTAAACCGTATAATCCGTGAGCCGCGGAACAATAGCGGGGACTCGACGACGATGGAAAGGTCCATTAAGGCGGCTTTGTAAGGAGCGGCGGTGAAACAGGGCCTGGAAACTTAGAAAACGCTCCGCGATAAACTCCGGAGGAGCGTGAGGGAAGATGTGCAAGGGGTTACTGACGAAAGTGGGACGGTACGGGCTTGCGAAACACAGTCACGAGATGCGGGACGGGGGGGGGGGGGTCGGCGGGCACGGATGGAGCGGATAGTCCTGGTGGAGGGGGTGCCGTAATATTGTTAATTATTCAGAAGTACTATGGACCGATTAATTAACTGAAGCCACTCCGGCTGGGTCAGGCATTCAAGGGAGCTTTGCAGACGCGTCGTTCGAGCGGGACAAAAATCCCGGTTAAATAATTACTGACGTCCAAGGGAAAGAAACTGCGAAAGAACCGGAATTCGTCGGCACAATTAAGAGGGAGGGGGGGGTTGGGGCTGGGAAAGAGATGGAGAAATACATCGATGGTAAGGGACTTTCCGCCTCGAATATTTCTACTCTCGGTACCCTAAAGTTGTGCGATGATTACTCTCTGGTGTCCCGATGTCGGGCTCGGATTCCTCGCGAGGAAACTGAAGGAAGAACAAAGAATACCATTCTGTCTCTCGCTCGCGAATTTTTACGACGTGAGAATAAAGATTTTTATAGCAGGCGTAAGAAGTCAGACATCTCGCGATTTTGCAAATATTAAAATATAAGACGTACATCATTCATTTTAAACTTTCTAGTGGACGTTTGTACGTGACACGTAAAATTCGCAAATAAGAGATGTACGTGTACTCATAATTTTTTAAGTCGATTTTACTCCAATATAATAATTGCAATAACTAATAATTTTACCTAAATTATTAGTTATTGCAATTATTATATTGGAGTAAAAACAATCGACTTAAACAATGAATTACATGAACTGCACGATTTTTTCGTAATGTATTATTCTTTTTACTTTCTAGATTATTGTTTGAGAAACACAGGAGAACGTGACTTGGACGCTTCATTTTTTAATACATGTACCTAATCATAATATACCTATATATTGTTTAATACTAAAAATATATATATCAAATGAAATCGTGTAATTTAGTTTTCTTGCACGTACGTTTCTTTTGAAAAAAGGGAGAGAGAATGGTAGAAGGAGAAAAATGTTATCGGCTCAATAGCATTTGCTAATAAATAGAGGAAAATCCCTCTATTATGAGATAGGATTCTAATACGAGACAGCAGGTTTTCAATGTCCAAATTCAATTACAAATTTTGTTGCAACGATTACACAATTTAAAAATTAATTCTCTACTAAACAGACTTCACTTCAAGGGTAATAAATTCATGGCGGAACCAACAGATGACGTCTATTAATTTAGCAGAAACTCCACTGTCTCATATTAGGAGTATATCTTATAATAGAGGACTTTCCTCTAATACTGCGTTCGCAAATTAAGTCTTTTGTCTTCGCATCACTTTCAGCGGCACGAACCAAATTCCAATAGGACAATTACGTGTCACTTTGGGCGAACACAATTTAAGAGCTCCAGAAGTGCCGGCCGCAAGACATGAAAGCGTCATAAACGCGGTGTTGCATCCTGGTCACAGGTGCGGCAAGTATGTGGACGATATTGCTCTGCTGGAGCTCGCTAGACCGATCAGTTGGTCGGAAAGCGTGAAACCCGCATGTTTACCTGTGGCCACAGGGAAACCAGGGTATAGTGCCTTCGGCGGCGTGGAAGCTGTAGTAGCCGGATGGGGTTGGCTTGGAGAAGATAGAAGCAAATGTGAGTAAATAATTGTCTCTCTTTCGATACCGATTACGTACGGGACAACAGTACTCCGGGATTAGTTCCCATTACATCAGCTACTCGCGTACTTTGAAACTATGGTAAAACGTAACGTCACTGTAGCTTATACCGAGACGCCGCATCCAGGAGTTCCAATTTGTCGCATAATGTTTCATCGTGTAATTTAAGGAAAGAATTTTATCAAAATGTGTACCTGTACCTGATTAAATATCTAATCTCTCGTAGTGGTCAACGCCATTCATGCGTCTCCGAACGCTTTCGATTTCTATCAATTGCTAATAACTGATGTATTTCGAGACGATCCTCGTACTTTTATGTGCGAACGCGATCACATAATTCACAGGTGATGAACAAATCTCTGTTACGCGGCGAGTACGCCAAGGTCCTATTTGAATGTGACCAAGTTGCGAGTGTTCATAAATACCTGAGATACATCGGTAAGCCTGAAGTTTCGATAAATCTTATCACGATAACGATCGGAGCGACGAAACACCAAAGTTTCCATAATCACCAAAGTTCCCGCGAACGTTGAAGTCCCATAGCGCGGAAGTGTATCAACTCTCTCTCTCTCTCCCCCTCTCCATCTGTTTCTGGAATCAATAAAATGGACAAGGTCAATTTACTTATAGAACACAAGTCATCAAGATGGATATTATTTCCATGCAAAATGTATTTTAAAATGAAACATTGATTATAATGAAAAATTATGAAGATTTCGTACATTACGTACTGAATTATGATAAGAAAGCTTTGATAAACATTTCAACAAAAGCAAAACTGTTTAATTCTATTTAAAAATGGTCTAATTAAATATTTTGCGTCTTATAATCAGCTTCAGATTGATATAATTAATTAGACTCGTTAAATAGATATTAATTATATTCTTATACTAAAATTGTAAAGCATTTTAGATATTATAATTAACGTAACAATTAGATTATAACATAAACGAGATGTGCAGCAATTATTAATTAAATTCGTTAAAATGTATCGTGGCTTTCCATGAATAATGCTTGTTGTGTTTTCGTGAATAATGCCTCGCGTGTAACAGTTCTTCATGACGTGTCAGCAACATAATATCCATTTATATTTAAGCATGCATCTTTATCAAATTTGAACATCGTAGATACTACGCTAACTAACTGCGCTAACATCGTAATGATTTCAAAATGTTTTCCCAGACATCGGACCGTTTGCATGGTCGAGCTGGGTAAATCTGTTTTAATGATATTCGGAGGTCTGTCTAAGGGCGGAACGTTGGCTATAATCTGCCCGCGAAAGACGCGGCGTGCAAACAGCATACAAATCGCCGTTGTGTTCCAGACAAGAGAGCGGACGTGCTGCAAAAGGTGGATGTTCAAGTGGTGACGAACTCTGTGTGTAGCGAATGGTACGCGAGTCAGAACAAGTCAATCAGCGTTGGAGCGACGCAGATGTGCGCCGGCTGGGAGGATGGAAAGAAAGATTCTTGCTGGGTAAGTGAAAAAGACGTGGTCGCCGCGAATTCACCTGCAGGTCGCGCGAAACGCCAGTCCGCGTGAGCACTCGCATTTTTGCCTCCCCGCATCGCTGCTCGCTCGACGCCGCTTGTCAATCGCTCGATCATGGAATTCATGGTTCGTCGGGCGGGCACGACGCGAATTTCAATAAATACCCACGCTACCGTGGTAATGCGCATACAATGCTGTTCAGGCATGATAGCCAACCATGTTGGATGATACTGGTCCCCGATAATTGGATCGTATATAATTGCATTGGCCTCGCTCTGCGGATCTCCAACGTGGGCCGGTATTTATGCAAAATTGTAACAGGGACTGCAGAAGGAGCGATAACGTTTATTAAAAGAACGAGGAGCATTGTATGAGTTACGTTATCGCCTTAATTGCTCGAGATACGACGTTTGAAAAGATATTTTTTTAATAAAGTTTCCATTTATATTAAGGACGAAGGATGAAGAAATAAAATGATATAACATTTCTAAGAAAATTAATCAATGGCGATTGTTAAAAAGACTATTACAAATGCATGCACACATATTCGCGTGTGTTATACTTGTCTGCAAATTATGCCACTTTTCTTTTTCTCGTAAGAAATAGAAGAGATATAGACAGTATGTCATGATAATTTTATGAGCCAATGATGCCTTGTACCGTATCCTTCTTAATGAGGATGATACACCTTCTTCAGCAAGTACTAAATTCACGCCGTCAATTGAGACTAACAGCAGTTTCCGCAACTCCCACGGGAATCCTGCCACGATATTACCAAGTCGGCGTTCATCGAAACAAAAATAAGAATACCGCCCACGATCTTGTCCCCGATAAGCTTCCTACGCGTCTCCGCCGCGTCCTTATCAGCAATTTATATTTCCTCCGGACGAAGATATTCTCGAGAAAACAATCGAAAACGGACGTATTGCTACGAGATATATCAGGGAAGAAGGGGGTCTCGAAAGTACAATCTCGCTGAAGGTTCCGATGGGAATTGAGATGTGCTAGATTTCCTGTTTACCTCGTTTGCGCGAAAACTACGACTGGCAACTATAAAAATTGATTTCGGGATATATTGGATGTAGCGTGAGTCGGAGTTGAAGAATGTTATATAATACATTTAGCGTATCGAAAGGTGATCAATTATTTCTCTAATAATTTCAGATATCTTCTCAATAGCTACGCGAGAGAGATTCTGATACGTAATGTTTGATGAAAATGAAAAAGCTTTCTTTTTCATTTAAAACACATGGTAAATAAAAAATAAACTGGAATGCTAGGAGCATTTTAGCAAGCTATGGTCCGGTTTCACCAACGTCGCTTAACTTTAAGCTTAGTTTAATTCGTTCTTTGTCTCTTTCCAAATGTTACTTCAGAAAGAGACAAAGAATCAAAGAATCAAAAGAAACATGAATCAAACTAAGATTAAAGTTAAGCGAGGGGATAACCGCTGACCAAAATCTTGTACACCAATGCCCATTAATGCCCAGTGGGCATTACTGTATCTTATTATCTTATTTTATCGTATTATATCTTTATAATGCCCTAGCAAGGCCTAATACACCCAAACTAATGCCCAAAAAATGCCTAATAATGCCCAGTAATGCCGTAAATCTGTACGCCACAATGCTCTCCGCGCGCGGTTTCCCCTTTGAAGTTAAACGACATTTGGGGAAACCAGGTCTAAGTGGTATTTTCGGCTAAGAACTCTTGTTTTTCTTCGATAAAAATACCGAGATTTCAACATTATTTCATCATGGACAATTAAATATTTTTCCTTGCAAATTTCCACAAAAGGGAGGAGAAGTGTCTTATGTAAATTCTCTAAACTTTTCAAACGATATTAACGCACTGTGCGAAATACCGGTGACAATAAACGCAGTAGTACCGTTAAAAGCCCGTTTCCATCTTGAGAATTCCCAGTGACGAGATTTACGATCCGGATCCGCGTGGAACGATACCGAAACCCATCGTGATGGATACTCCCGCAACCCAGCAATCTGTATTAGAGCAAGTGGAATTTGCACCGCATCGTTTACCATAACCGCGGAAGCTTACGGGACAACTGCACGCGCCCTGTATTTTATTCCAGGCTGACAGCGGCGGGCCCTTGATGGTCGGAAGTCAACCCGCCGGACCGTTGATGGTCATCGGAGTGGTTTCGACCGGTATTGGCTGTAGCAGATCACGACTTCCCGGCATCTACGTGAGGGTTTCCGATTACGTTTCTTGGATCACGCAAGAGACGCAGTCTGGCAGATAAACTTCAACGCGGAAGACAATGCGAATTTTATCTCGCTCTTTTAACAATTCCGTTTAACAACGAGTTGTATACAATAGCGCGTACAGTTGACATCGATGATTGGGACAATTTATTCAAGTCGATGATTCTTTCCCTTATATATCACAGTTAGTTATTGTAATATAAGGAGAGAAAGAAAGGCAGGAAGACAATTCGTTAATAATTGGACTTACAATTTGTAATAGTTTTCATTACCATATTCATAAAATATGATAGCTAGTTAGCAAAATAACGAATGTGATGATAAATGTTAGCAGTTTTTCTGAAACGCCTAAAATGTATTTATACTGTATTATATAGTTGAGTATTATATTTTATATATTTATTTTTAGAAATCTGTCGCTTTTAACGATGTCATTTTGCGTACAGAAGCACGCAAAGTGTCTTTCCTTACATTTCATAATTACCGTGACACAGAAATTAAAGGACAGGTTTATTTAAATTTATTTATTTTAATTTAACTTATCCATCCTAAAAATAAAAAATTCTCTCAAATCTATACTTCGTAGACAAATTTAAAGATACACACAATGTAATACATGTAAAAAATGTAAATAACTCATAATTTTTTATATACAAAATATTTGAATGATGTTTCTATCAAACTGTAAATTCAATTATGTTTTAAAACAATCAATTAAATTTTGTTTGTATGTGTATGTTCTATCAATAAAATATTATATTGAATAATCATTTTTACAGAATATGAATCTCCATGTTAAAAAATATAATGCAAAAATTGTAAATGAAAAATTATTGTCATACTTTAAAAGATACTTTAAACTATGTTTGATTGCCAAAGATTATGAACAAAACTCAAATAATTATAAATTATATGAAGATGTACGGTCACGAGTTTAACTTGAAATTTTTCTATCATAATCCGATAATCAATGCAGCTGGTAGATATTTATTATCCAAAATAAAATACGTATAAAAATGGACAAAAGGATTATAAAAATATTTTCGGATACTCTGAAAATAATTAGTAAAAACTCGTTAAAAATATATACGTGCAATTATCCTATATGCCAATTCTTGTGGTAAAATGACACGGTATTAAATAATCGCCATTCATTCCAAACTAAAATGAAAAACACAATAAATTCTATTTATGGTTAATATTTTTGTATTTTTTGTTGTACAATAGTTTGTACAATAATTTGTAACATATTCTCCTTGTACATGCACATTACTCTTTAACGATAAATTATTTGATCAATTTAAAATAAATTGTTTTTCATACCAAAATATCGTGGCGAGTTTATTTATCAAATAAAAATTTCCTAATTTTTTTCCGGTATTATATCTGTTTCCAAAACAAGTTTTTTATAATATCACATCTGATTTTTATCATTTCTGAAATTATATTGCCTATAAATGAGAATTCTATTAAACTACTTTTCATCCAGAATTAAAAGTAGTTTCATAATCTATTTAGTTTTCTAAAATGTAATTTGCAAACATATTTTTATCATTTAAAAATTATTAATAGCCTAACATTTCCGCTAAAAAAAACTCGCCTACAAATGGATTAAGTTTCGTTAAAAAATAATATGCAAGAAGTTGAATATTCTACGTATCTCGTTTTATTCATGAAAGTAAATTTTAGTAGTCTGATTACATAAACATGATGTTCCTATAAATAAAGAATACATGTAACATTATATCGAAAAATCTAGTGAAAAGTATAAACATAATTTCGATCTGTTTCAAATGTTATATTTAATCTAGTCATTTTTAGAGAATAGTATAGAAGAAAAGAAGAAGCATATCCCATATCAATACCATATAAACGAGGGAATAATGTCCTTGTACAATTATGATACCAAATAATGTGAGAAATTAATGTACTATGTGTTTATTTAAAAATACCTATAAAATAATTATATGTAAAATACCTATGTAAAATACAAAAATAAAAAACAGAATATAGTTTTTAACAACTTCAGTGTTTTTCATCCAATTAAACGACCTACACTGGCCAATGTTTTTATTCAAAAACTGATTACGTTTCGGCCCCGGATTTGGACCCTTTTCAAGAGATCTGAAATCGCAAATTATACAATAATGCTGAAGGCCTATCACAAATCAACAATAAATTCATATCTGAGTAATAATTACTGTGTTATTAGTCAATCGTTTGGCCAATACCATTCCACTGTGACGAACTGAGTAGAAACAAGAGGAAAGTCATTATAATGTAACACACTTAACTAACATGTTCAATAAAAACTTACATATTGGTCAAGTAGATTTACAAGAATTAATAATTTATCCTAACATGCATTTCAATTATTTGGAAGGTAAATATAATAGGCATTGTAAAAGATTTTAACAGGGTATATTAACATATACTCATACATATCCAAATTATGTAATGAGTAACAAATTATAATATAATTACAATCTCCTTTGTTTTCGTGGTCTTGGTGGATTATAACTTACTCTAGTCTCATCCGTAATTGATATAATGTTCAATCCTGTCATTTCAAGACCTTTTATAGAAGACTGAAAGCCATACAATTATTAATACTAAAACGTAATCTACCGACAGAAAATAATAGAAAATAAGAACTAATTTTTGCAAAAAAAAACCCACCATTCTACCAGGTCCAATACCTTGTACTCGTATTCTCACTGTGTCCACACCGTATTCAATAATACGCTGAAAAATAAACAAATATAAATGCTTATATATTTTTCCTGTCCAGTACAATCATGCATTCTACGTGTGAAATCCATCGACACGAATGGACGGAACGTTACTCACGACAAGCGGGCGCTATAGAGAAAGAGGTGTATAGGAGGGCTATTCTGTTTTTCTTGCTAGCATTAATTGTCGTTGGTGCAGACAAAATTACCAATGAGATGTAGCAAAAGAGACAGAACAGCCCTGCTATGTAATACCTTTCATTCTATAGCAGGCGCCCGCTTGTCACGCGTGGCGCTCAGCCCAATCTGTGTGTACGCCAATGGTAAAACCTTAACATAGATTCAATGTATGTGTACATTTCCAAAAGTTATGGCAGCTTGTTGAGCAGCAAGGTTCGTCCCTTTTTTGGCATTCTTAAAACCCTCTATACCTGCCGAATGTAGCGATAATACTTTGCCACTAAAATCTGCGAAAGTCATAATTGTATTGTTAGGAGTTGATTTTATATTGACAACATGCAACTCCTTAAACGGCACGCCATTGAACAATCGATTTGGTGTGTCTGCATCAGGAAATAGGTATTCCCTGAAACGTAACAAGCATGAAGATTATTTCCTGCGAAATCAAGAAAGATTAATAAAGTAAATTTGTTAGCGACCACAGTAGATCTTTCTTTTGTACAGCCAAGACAATACAGATTAATTTATCTAATATAAGCTATGGTCCACTTAATGTTATAAATGCTTCAAAGCATTATTTTCTGTTCTTTCAATAAAGAAAAAAGGGGAAGAAGACTCGGAAGCATTTGTAGCGTCAAATAGACTGCAGTTGTTTGACAAAATAAATATCGGCAAGTTTAATTTAAAGTCATGAAACGAGATTGTTACGTAATAAAGCCTGATCTACAATGTGCTCTCTCCGTCCAGAAACATTCTATATTATAACCAATAAATACGTCTACAAAATTTGTGCCAGGTGATACATTGCACAATCACACAATGTTAACAAATTTTTCAAGCGTTTTGACCGGCTTTGTTTTATATACAATGGAATTGTTCCAGACGCAAAGAGCACATTGTAGGATTAGATTTAGAGAAAGTTCCGCAAAATACAAATGATCCTCACTGCTGATTAATGTTGGTTGTCTCGGGCGTAGCTTCTCCCACGACTAATCCATATTTTGCTTTATCGCCGACCTTCACTTTTTCATTCTTCATTCGAATCTCTTTGCCGTAGAACTGCGTGGTGCAAACATTCCTCGAGGTTATGGCACTCAAACGTGCAAACGCTGGAGCTAACCGGCCATCGGCCAACACGCTTTCTCGTACAACAGGAAATTTCGCCAATCCCCTAAGCGCGGATTTAATCATTTCGGTTAATTAGCCGTGCGGTGTCACGTTTCATTCAAGGGATGGTGTCGAATCGGTGCGAAATCAGGAGCGGATAAACAATCGTGCGGTGACGAGTGCTAAACCGTTGCCATCTCTGTGTGTCTCGCGGCATCGCGAAGACGGGGACGATACCGGCGCGGCGCTGCGTGAAACAGCTGATTTATCGATTCCTGGCGACCTCTCGTACGCCCTCCAGCCGAACCTTCGGGCCGGTCGGTAACTTCGGAGGCCCTCGCATCTGGCCATCGATTTGCATCGTCGTTCCAAGCATTCGAGAATTTTTCTCACCCGATGTTTACATACAGTGCAGTGTTACATGTTACATTTGACTGATAATTTCCCAGGAGTTCTGCTTAAATTTGTCATGTCCAGGAGAGCGACAAATTTATAAACCGCAAAATGTTATAAATCTATTTGACAAACTATCAGTGTGCTGCTAATAAAAAGCGCATTAGTTGATAACTTATGTACTGTGCAATCATTCATCGACTAAAAAATAACGTTTACGAATATAATAACATTTTTTGCAAAATACCAAATCGATAAAGCAGAGGAATAAAAGAATTTTATATTTTTAACTGCTATGTGCTACATACATGGTAATGTTTTTTAATCAGGAGCACATACGTATAACTTTTCGTGGAAAATGTTCCTCTTGAGTATGCGAGCCGTACGAAACTTTTTGCACACGAGACAAGGTTCCTCGAGATGAGAATTTCGCTGTTTTATTCGAACCGATAAAAAAGCAACACGTTTTAAAAGAAAGTATTAAATACACGCTTGCGAAAGGTTTCGTGACTTTGCAAAATTGCGTGTCGCTCGTTATCCCGCCGTAGCTATTAATTGCCGATTAAAATAAATTATCCCCTCGTTATTAATACACTTTTAATTATATTATTTTAGTTATTGCTTTTAAGATGAACCGCTACGTTAAATGCTCTTATCTCGCGTAGTATAGCATACATTTATCAACGTATTCCATCATTTAAGTATTTATTCGTATAAGTGAATAAGTAAAGCGGCGCGATAAGTTCTTCATGTTTTATTCACTCCACGTCTTGCAAGCTGTCTTAAAAAACAACATACTTTGCTGTGATACGACATATAATTAATGCGAATTGATTACATTTACGTATTTTAATTGCGAATAATATGACACTGAATATCAAGTAACATCGATATAAGATAACGCTCGTTTTAATCTATGTATATAATAGATGTATCGATATATTTACAATGGTATTACCCTGCTGGAAATAATTCTACAAAATTCTACAAAACTATAAAATATTACTGCCAGAATCTAAGAAATTCTACGTAAATTAAAAAATGGTTACAGTAATCAACATGAAAATGCTAGAATTGAAACGTTTTTGTTAATTTTTGTAATATTCTACAAGTAAGCAGATGTTTTAATTTTTTTTTAAGATTTTGTTATTTCTCAAATTTTTAAAACTAGTAAAGTTTTGTACTAATTTTTACAAAATTGTACATTTTCATGAAATATTAGTTGCAATAATTTCGGGGTCTGAAATTTTGCGTACTGATAGATAAACTGTACAACTGCAACTTATTGAAAATTTTTTCTACTTTTGGTCGGTTTATGCAGGAGCCACCTTAAATCGTTAATTTGATTAAATTTCAAACAAGTTGTCTGAAATTGAAAATAACTTCTCTTTACATAAATAACAGTAATGACAATTTCCGTGCTTCAAATGCATTATCACATTATACAACTTTTGTTATTTATACTATCCATTTGCATGTTATTTACATGTAAATTAATATGGTCCGTCCTAAAAACAAAAACGCGTATTAAACGAAAATATCATAGAAACGCTGATGAAGGAAATTAGAAAAAAAAGATTCCAACCTTTTTTTACGCAATGCGAGGGTGGCGTAACATTCAATATAAAAATTATCAATATACGATCTCTATTTCTAATGTATTAGAAGAGAGTGGGACGAGTAAAGCAACAAATCGATTGCTCTCTTCGTTAACACTTTGGTGCAAATGTAACATCGAATTATGCGCTTCTGTATCCGCGGCGCCAGGAATTCGATGAGAATTCGCTGTTAATAGAACTATTTGTACAGGGTATTAAATCTGTTGCTACGTCTCTCGATTTCTTCCATTAGCGTTGCCCCTCGAATGTCCGAAACAATGTGCGCGATTTCAATAGTGCGGAATTACGTATTAGTTATCATTAGGCAGATTGTGTTACCGCCATTTCCCTTACGAGCCATTTCTGGTTCGTGGCTTCCCCGTTTGTAATAACACATGAATAATGCTGCTGCGATGGTATTGTGTTATGCATAAGCGTGCAATTTTGTTGCTCTGCACGACCCTTACAATTAGTTAAGAAAATTTCAACGACCGGTTCAGTCCCCGTAAACACGCGCGCGTCACCGTTTACGATTTTAAACGCAATATACCTATTATGTATCTATATACGCACACAAATATGTAAAAAGTACTTACTTTAATAAATCAAATTCTCATTAGCCTCCCACATGAAATCGGTATTATTAAGTGGAATTTAATAGTTCGCAAAACATTAATTACATACATTTCGCTCGTTTTAATATGCAATGTTCGGAAGCACATTTATTTACATCTTAATGCTTTGCAATTAAAAAGTACGACGTTACGTTGGACATAAAAATAACGGGTGTTGAAATAATGTCATGTAATTTTAACACACAAAAACTTGTTCCTCTCCGATCGCGAAGCTGAAAGCATTCCCGAGGTAATAATCGCGATATTTTATCCAAGGCTGGACACTCAAACTTTCATGCGTTTTTAATTACTCAGCAGCGTAACAAGTCACGATCGATATGTAGAGAATAAATCTATGCTCCGAGTTGCATATTAAATATACACAAAGCGAACGATTCTGTCTTCATACTTCATAAATTAACGGTGCTGATTCGGTGGCTTCGCAGGAGGGTTTTCCAGGTGGGATTTACTTTGTGTACGACGGGATTGTGCACACTCAACGTGCTTTCTCTCTCTTTCCATGACACGCGGACACTCTCAAATTAATTACGGGATCCCTCTCATTTAACGCAGTTATTATGAACCACCTCACCCTAAGATCATTACTGAATTACGCCCGGAGAGCACCGGGGACCTCCCTGTGCCTGTCTGCACACGTGTCTGGAATACACCGCTGCATATCGCTACTTTAAGCGTGTAAATGCCTGCCCATTTTCCCGATACTCGATATAATAAATATTTACGCGAGCGAAACGCAAAAGGTAAAGAAATTCCAGCATCATTTTTGTAAAAGCGCACAGATTCGCGCAAGAGCCATTCGATGCCATGAAACTGTAACACACGAGCATACAAACGTTCTTTGCACCAGTCTTTTTATCGCATCACTTTTTTACTAATGTTCTATAACATTTACAAACGAATTACTTGGTAGGTCGCAGTAATGTCCTTATAAAAACCATCAATATTTAAGGACGTTCATCGGCTGTAATCATAACCAAAAGTTCTCGCCCGTGTTTCCGTGCAGCACGACTCTTAGCATAAATTCTACACACTATACAATTAACGCAGCTCTGCGTCTTATGTGTAAGTATACAATTACACTAGGACGCTTTGTAAAAAACGAAGATCGGAAAATGTTTTGCCTCTGTGAATTTACTTATTGGCTTCGAAATATTGTCAGATAGAGAATTTCGGATTACAATTAACCGCACAAACGGTTAGGCTACATATGCCGTAAGGGCCTTAATTGAAGATGATGCATCCAATACGAAAAACTCTTAGTATTGATTCCCGATAGAGAGTTTAATGTAGATTTGACACAAATTAAGCGACACTTTGCGTTCGTGTACGGATGCTTCTTTTCATTCTTCTTCGCGCAACACGTGAATGTTTTCGTTTTACCTCGGGCGATTACTAAAAACCGATGCGCAAAAATGGGATTTCCTCTACCGTTCGCATATTCTGCCTCTTTTCTACTTGATGTCATCGCGCCACGTCGAAGCGAAAAGTTTTATATCGGATTTAACGTCATCTCGGCGACGGTAGCGTCGACGAGCGAAATTTGGTTTTCAATACAGAACGGGCCTCCGCAGGAACAGCGGGCGCTTCGATAGAGAGAAAAACGGAAAGGGCAGTCGTGAGAAAGTCAGCAAGCATTCACAGCACTCAAGCTTGGTTTATCCAGAGGAACGGTATCGAGTATCCGTTGTACCATTCTCCCCGTTTAAACGTAGTCGGAGTATTCCATTCTTTGAGGGCCCACAGAGTTTCCTCGATATTTCTTAAAGCAGCCACTATTGCGATAGATCCTGTGCGCTCGCTTTATCTCGCTACTTTTCCGAATTTTCTTCACATACATCATAAGGTTCTCGATAATCCGAAGGAAACAACGCGACTCGAAAGCGCATTTGCGTGCGTTCCGCATTTTGCTATCCTTTACTTTCAATATTGAAGTGTCGGACAATAAAATAACACAGAGTACCTCACGGAAGGATGATGATTGCGTATGTTTTTGAAATTGTATATCGTGAGTTGATACGTTCAGCATATTATACGTTTCGTGTTTTAATCCATGGTTAAATTAATTAAAGATAAAATTAAAATTGATGTTAACAGTTAAAATAATAATAGGGGTCATGTAAGCCGTCACCTGAGCGAGGGTGATAAATTATATAAATAAGTTCTAATATAAAATATGTTATAAAATTGGTAACATTATGATACAAGTTGAACGCTTCGGTCTACAAATGTAACCCTCTTCAGCAATACAATATTAAGTATTATATATACAATTGGTCTAAAATTTTGAAAAAGGTTAGTCATTATAATATCTAAGTCGTCATAGCGGAATTATATGCGAGAACATTGGATAATCACTTATAATGTATGCACGTCCGAATAGTACATACATAGATGGGCTGGTCAGTTGTGTGATCACATTCCATCGTGCCCTCGATTATAGTGCATATCAACGGTCAGATTTTACTTTATTACTTTATTTGGTATCGCAGGATTAACAGTTAAAGTAAAATAAATAGTAAAAACAGTGTGTGTCAAGAAAATAGAGAAGTTTAAAAGTGTAAAAGTTGAATAAACAGGACGAAACTA